CTGCTAGGAACATAAGGAACAATCAGATCTCTGATATCAGATGGAGCTTGGCCATTTAAGGCTTTATATGTGAGAAGGAGGAAATAAATGGAAACTAAAATAGGAGAAATTTGATTAGATTAGATTTATATTCTAATCATCTGTTTTTTTTTCTCTATGAAACGTTGCAGTGAATGAATGTTTTTCATTGTCTCAGAATTTCAGCATGAATCTCCAAACTAACAAACCTTTTTTTCTTCTATAAGCCTTTCACACTAAGCAGGTAATAAAACTGAAGCTGGCGTTCTCCTCCTCTGTGGACCAGAATAAGTCTGCTGAAGACCTGCTGAGGAAGGTAAATCTTCTCTCTTTATTTGACCAATATTGCGTCCCATCAGAAATCCCTTCCAGCTGTAGATTCTTGTTGAGAAAAATTATATCAATGAATCAAAATGTTCAAGAAATATTTTTTTTGTTACAGCTGAAACAGAAGATGCAGGACAGCGGAGTGAAAGGAGACATCAAGCTGAGCTGGAGGAAACAACCGGATGGACAGATCTTCATCAAGGAAAAAAACAACGGAGATTAATATTAAATTGAAAGTTGTTGATTTTATTCTTTATTGCTTGTTTAGAATTTAAAGGTACAGTTTGGGTTATGTTAAGGAGAACGTTTTTTAGAGAGATAATGAAAATGAATAATCAGATCTTTTCTTCAGGATTTTTTTAAATAAATCATTTTTCTTTTCTTTTTTTTTTTTAAGTGGTTATAGTTCTATACCCGTAACATCTGAATAAGAAGAGGTAGATATCCTATTAACTGTTTTATTTAATAAAAAAGCTCCTTTTCTTGGCCTCTACAGTTCCCGTCCCACTACACGTTCTTTGCTCATGCCACAGGATTTTGGGGCCCGAATTATAATGTTTCAGCACTTATAGTCAACCATCTTACATTTCTTATGACACTTGTCTTCATTTTTATTTATTTTAAAAATTAGTTCTCATTAAAACACTGAAAACTGCACCTAGTGTATGTTTAAATATTTCATTTGACATGTTTATAATAACATTTTGTTTTATTTATCCTTTCGCTCCAATTAATCTTATTTCCTTACAGTAATGCAGCCTGCATTTGCTTGGTTGCTTTTATTTTTTCTAGCTGCGTCCCATTCTTTCCTCTGCTCCATTGTTCTGGTGTCAGTTTGGTTGGAGGCTTTTGAGGGCCCAAACGCCGAGAGGAGTTTGCAGATTTAATAAATTTCCACAGGCTACTGAGGCAAATATGAAAAATACTGAAAACGAATGATGGTCCAGTAACACCTCTGCATTGGTGCATGTGTGGAGCCCATAGAGCCAAACACTGTATTGCTGTGCGTCGTTTTAAGAACGTCACAGGTTGTTTCTAACCGACTGACTCACTAAACTGTGTTTAAAAACGTTTCTGTTACCATGATGCATCTGCTACAAAAAATGTCTCATCTTTTGCGATTTATCATTAAAATGATCCAGAATTTTGGAGCCTAAAAGGAATAGAAACGTTTCAGCTGCTGGGTTTTTATTTTAATTTTCTCGTTGTTTTATCCTTTTCCTCTCAGTTATCACTCAACTTATCTAAATTAAAGTTAATTTCAAATGGACTCTTAGTTTATGTACTTTTTTTTACTGCACTGTTTTAAAAATATTATTTAAAATGCTTGTCCAGAAGAATCCTCATTCACATTTTCCCCTAAATGTTCACCTTATGACAAATGTTTACATTATTTATCGGCTGCATCTGAAAACATCAAAGATATTTTTAATGTAAACATAGATACGAAATAATTTAATATAACCTACAACACCTTAACTGATATCATTAGACTAGTTCATCAAATTCATTCAGTTTAGTGTCCTATAAGCTGCCTGTAGTGTCTTTAAATGTCCAGCAGGTGTCGGTATTCTGTAAGACAGTATCAAGGCAGCATCAATAGAGTTTGGCTTCAGGATGCCTCATTAACAAAACTACTGAAAACCAAAATCTAGGGGACATCAGGGGAAAAAGACAAATGAGGCGCCAAGAAACGACAGAGTAAGAATTACCCAGCGCTGAATGAAGCCTCTGCTGCTCTTTAAAGCCCAGAACTCTGATGAGACTGACGAGCTCCACCTGGGTAGACTACCCAGGTTCTCCACAAAGATCCTCTCTTGAAGAGATACATAACTCTCTCTCACACACACACACATACACATGTTGTGTCACAATATCCTTGTGGGGACCTTCCATTGACTTCCATTCATTTCCTACTAATTTATATGGCCTAACCATGACCCTTGCCCTAACCCTAACCATTACCGACACATACCTATCCCTAAACCTAACCTAAACTCAATTCACACCTTAGTCCTAAACCTAACCCCCACCCCAAGAAGAGAAACTTTCCTTGTGGGGACCAGTTGTTGGTCCCCACAGGTTCCTATTAGGCCCCAAAATGTAGCATATTCCTAGGAAATAGTCCCCACCAGG